TTTCCAAAAATTGTAGTAGAAAAATATATCTCGTAATTATCAGTAATCTCAAGCTACTACGAGTACTACAGAAGATTATTCATAGTTCTCTATAAGAACTGAATTACCGTACCGTTTCGTTTTACCTCGAACGCACAAAAATAAACCTAATGAAATAGTAATCGGGGTCAAATCAACCTATGCATTTCATTTCTTTCAATAAAACTTTATTACTTAAGGAGGCTTGCTCAGTGGCGGTCGTTAAAATATCCCAAACAAATCGAGGAGCACTCCGACTATCGGCACAGTAAAGCTTTCTCGATTTTTCGTAAACAAAAATATATTCGAGTCCCACTTATTCATCGCAGAAAATTTGGAAATATGCCACGATGACCGTAGAGTGCAGTTTATAAATCATCAGTAACAGCGATAAATGTCGAGATGAAAGCCTGGCTTAATTCGTTATTTTGACATACTTCGGATGGAAAAAATTCGGTTGGCACGGAATTTCGGAAAGAAAAAGAAACATCTGTCTCGGGGCTGTTTTTTATGCTTTTTCAGATGAATATGTGTAACAGTGATTTGGTTATAGAAAAAAAATTTGGTTTTTGGGAATACTGAACTAGACGCCTTCCTGAAACACATCAACAGCGTGAGACCTTCCATCACTTTCACAATGGAAAAGGAAGTCCACAACAAATTGCCATTCTTAGTGGTGAAGAGGATCGACACTAAGTGGGAAACGTTTGTATACCGAAAACCCACACACACGGAACAGTATCTGAACCACTAATCCAACCACCATCAATCGACTAGAAGAGGAATCATCAATAATCTATTAGACCGTGCTTTCGGGCTCTGTAATACGAAACAAGGTCTCGACAAAGAACTAGACATCATCAAAAATGATCTTCAACGGAATGGCTAGTCCAATGCGATGGTGGAACAGACTTTGGCTGAAAGACAGCAGGAGCCTCGCAAGGAAGAGAAGCCGTCACAACCAGTGCTTGCACTTTCCTACATTAGAGGATAATGTTGTTTAAAATATGTTTTTCCATTAACCAGCTATCGCACCCCTACGAACGACAACCCTCAGAAGTCGAAACTTATGCGAGCTAAGGACTAACGAGGTCTTACCCTTTAACGTGTGATTTCTAACACGGAAAGGATAACAAGAATTGGATCCAAGTACAACATCAGAACCTGCTTCAGATCTGGAAACACTATCCGTAGCAGCCTCACGAAAACCAGGCCACCAAACGCGGACTGCGTTTCTAAGAATTGCATTTATCGGATACCCTGTGAGTGAAACTAAGAGGCCATTGAATGTTCGCATTGCCGATCACAGAAACATACACAGCGAGGGGAAATCCGCAAATCAGGAATAGCAGAGCATGTTTGGACTCATCAACATAACATGGAGTGGTCCCAAGCTGAGATCATACATAAGGAGGAACATTGGCTTAGGAGGAAATTCAAAGAAGCTGCATGTATGTTGTCCAACAATGCATTAAGCCAAGTTAGCGTAGAGATACGCAACATATGGAAACCCATAATCAAGCGAAAAATAACCAACTCTCGCCAAATGGTCAACTCTCACTAAACGATTGTGGATACTAACTATCAAAACGTCGTTAAGTAAATTGACTTGGAATCTCTTATCTTTTTTATTTTTTGTTCAATTGTTCTAATTTTACTTGTATTTTATTTCACTACTATTTTGTTTTGTTTTTTTTATAATTGTTAATATAATTGTTATTTACTTATGATGCACTCCAGTAATATTTAATATTCATAATTGTTATTTTAAGCTATTCATTTTTAATTCTTCTTTTCAGTTTTTTCAGGGATTTCAAATCATTTTATATAATGTAACGAATCCGAAGCCGCCCCTGGCCCATACGCCAGCCGATTCATCGAATAAAAACATGACACACCGCGAAAGAATGCAATCTGGAACCGACGGGAAAATTCTAGGCGAGTACCGAACAGACTACAGAGTTCTACAATGGACCTTTACCGATATATAAGGCCGGCTCCCGTCTAGAGAGGGCAGTGGAGTTCAGAAAGTGAATCGAGCGGTTAAACAAGGAATTCAAATATTGGAAATAAATTAAGCTTTAGTTGCTAAGTGTTGTAAATAAATTAGTTTGTGATAGTGAACTATTGTTGGAAATAAATTTGTTCAAGACAGATAGTTCTTTGATTTATTACTATAATATCAGACAATGGAAGTCCGAACTAATGAAATTCAGGGTTTTTGGAATTATTATTTTTTGCTTCAACAGAATTATGAAGAATGAGAACTTCACTTAGAATATAATTATAATCAGTCATACAGTTTTATTAGAAAAGTTAAGTAAATTATGTTTCAGAGGAATATCTCAATAAAAAAATTACCTGTTCTATAAAGAATGCTATGTCGTCAAAATAGCTGTAAATTTGGGCAATTGAAAAATTGCGGTCTCACAGGGTTCTGTTTTAGGCCCCTTGTAATATATAATCTCACTATCTTTTACATATTGATAGAAAAAGTGAAACCCACTGATTTTCAGATGTTACTGTCATCATGTACATATAGAATTGAAATGAATAATTGATAGAGATATGAAAAAAAGAAACTTCCTTGTATTTTCGTCATATTCCACCATTGGCAAATTTTGGAATGAAATTTATTGTGTCAAAGCTATTTTTCGGGTTTGGTGGCCAACGTNAACTTCTCGTTGACATCCAAGAATAGTTGTTTTCTTGAAATTGGTCACGAACGTTTTGAATATTTAATAAAGAAGATGAACTCAAATTTTTATTTTTTCAACTAATTGTTCTCTATGCCTTGAAAGATTTTGAGAGACTTATGCGAGCTCAAGCAAGAGAGGACCTTATATTTTAACGTGTGACCCCAGGAAAAACTTTATTCATGTTATCAACTTTTGAACTATCTATTTCATTTGCAGAAAATATATAAATCTGAAATTGAGTCTGATTTTCGAAACAAAAAGTATTTATTATATCTACATTTTGAGCTATTTATAAGATTGTCAATAATAAAATGTTGCTTAAAAAATCATCAAGCGTTAGTATTGAAAACAACAAAAACAGTTTTATCAAAGATTCAGTTAGAAACTTGCAAAATCAACCGAAAATAACATCAGAACTTCGAAAATAAACACAAAAACATAAAGCACGTCTAATTTTGTGACTCACCTTTTTCAATCGGTTCCAAAAATATTTCTTTGCTGTTTGTGTGGGTGGTCGTATGTTTATAAAGTGGATATTTAAATTTTGATGATATAGGCGTGTGCATTGGTGATTGAAAAATGTTTGGGTTTTTCACGCGTTCGCAGTAAACACACATACATAAGTGAAAAATTGTTTCAGATTTTTTATGGTAATGAAGACATAGCAAATTGGTCCCTGTAAATGGGTATTAATTTCTCACCAGGAAAATTCTAGAGAGTTTCCTGTCAAACAGGTAGACACCAAACCGTAGAGGGACCAAACTAGATGTTTTTCTTTTTCCCTCTCAACATTTTATTGATATCTCAAATATTTTCACGTAGTTTTGACTTGTTTCTCAAAACCTTTTTTTTTAATTTCTAAAAAATCAATCTTTTATCAAAATTTGAGTAGGTACATTTGATAGGAACTAAGAAATGAATTCATGAAAATTGAATTAAAGTCAAATACAATTGTTTTTTACTTTTTTCCCAAATATCTTATGAAATATTTCAATATAACAATTAATAATAACAGTTATTTTGTCGGAAATCAGTTTGACATTGAAGGAATTATTGAATGGATGATTTGAAAATTTAAGCACATAATATTTCGAATAAAATTTTAAATATTAATTTCTTTCATTTATTCTAAACAAACTGAATGGGAAAGTAAGGGTTTTTCCCTAGCGAAACTACGACGGATATTGAATTACATGAATATGCACCGCGTACAACCACAAGAAATATCTACAAAGATTTTCTCTGTGAAGAAGTCTATATAAATGTCTTCTTGATGACTTTCAACAGCCGTAGCGATATTATCAAAGAAGGTACCTAATTGTTTTCTAACAATCAATAAACAAATTCTTCTTGAATAACTGAGATAGATTTCGATTTCATTTGAAATATTCGGTAGGTACTTCAGTTAGGACACATATTCATCTCGTTTGACATCTTTAGATACTGCTTGATTCTTCCAAGTTTATTCGAATTAAGGAGTTCGTGAGTTTGAATCAATGAATCTGTATTTTGGATTGAAAGAAATATTTAGAGTGAAATGTTTGGTTGGCATTGAAGAAGAAGGAATGATGTAATGCCACTTTTGACCTGAATAACTTCAGAAACAGTTTTTTGATTGGGTGAGACAACATTAAACATACTCAGAAACTAGCCTTTTGTTTGTTCGAAAATCAATGCGGAATTCTGTCTAAAAAATGGTTATCAAACAAAATGGAGTTCAATTCTATTTCATAGCTACCAAAAATGATATTCGAGATATTTCACAGTTTTATTTTTAATTGAATGGTTGCTATTTTGATTGTTTCAATATGGGATACGTCATTTTTGTCATAAAAGCATTTGATTTCAGTTATACTTTTTAAACGTTGAAATATGATTTTTTAGTTTCATGATGGGCTTTTTCCCACATTCTGAATTTTTGGTATTTAGGAAATGGAGACTTTTCATGAAAAATGAAGCTAGTAAACCGTATTTGTTTTTTCTAATAAATTGATATTAATTTTTTATTAAATTTATATCTGCACCAAATATTGAAATATTTGGGGCAAACATTGTTTTTCAGATTTATCAGACAAAAGTTTTCTAAGATGCTTGCTCAGACTCACCTGTTGAGAAAAAGAAACTCTCGTAGAACATTTCTCATAGTTGTTATAAAAAAATTCAATCCAACAAATATCTGAATACGATTTTTCACCACAAGTCTCATATACATTTATTTACAGGTTTGCTAAACACTTCTCATGCATTTTTACGGTGGTTAAACATGTTTTTGAGTCTCCTTACATTGTTCTTGGCTTTCAGAAACGTTGCCGTATCGTCTTTTTCCACTGAATTACTTCTTCCGACACCTAAATAGTCATCGATCCTCTTTTCGCGATTTTTGTTCACGTGAATAGCCGTCATCATGTGCATAGGCCTAAAGTTAGTAACACCACTTTCGTCGATCAGCACATAAGGCACCCTGCCCGCTAGCACGCCTCTGGATGCGTCTTTGGGAATCACGGCCTGCAGAGAACCCCTGGATATCAAAACAGGAAAGTCTATGTCTGTTCTCTTCACTAGGAAGTCCTCGATGGCGAGCAAGTTTTGCTTTTTCATCAACTGCAAGGGGATGCTTCTCGAAGTGAGAAGTGGAGCTTGATCGGAGATCAGAACAGCGCTCTCACGGATCAGTTGTCTGATCCTAGGGTCGGATTTGGCACATTCCGGATTCTTTTTGATCCTCGTAATGGCGGTTTTCAAGGAATAATCCCTTTCTGCTAGGTGTCTGATCAATGTCATTCTCTTCAACATATTGTTGGTCTCCTCCAGAAGAAGAGAACCATCAGTAGGTTTGCTCAAGTCGTCTACCACATCGTCCAGACCTAAGGCCTTCGCGAAACTCAACGTTTCCTCCTTGAGCTCTCGAAAGCCGTTACTTTTCATCAGCTTTTTTAGGGTTTTGTCCATCATAGATTCGACTGCGGCTACAATGGCTCGTTGTAGAGCTTTAACGGCATCTTCGTCCGTTTTCACTTCTTCTATCAGCGTTTTCAAAGTGTCTAGTAATGGATTCGTCGTTTCAGGGTTTATCTTCGCTATTTTCGTAAAAGCCACGTTCATAACACTCTCTTGGCCAAGTATTTTGCTGATATTCTCCAAAATATCCTGCGTTGACATTTGTTTGTCTAGGATATTATTCAGAGTAGCCACTTTAGTGTCTTCGATAATTTTAGAGAGCTGTTTGAAGGCCATGTTGCAGACTTCATCTCTGTCGAACTGTGTTTTCATGAGGCTTACAAATTCCAGAAGGAGTTTGATGTCATTCTTCAATGGTTGAGTTAAGATGTCTCCGATGGCCGTAAGCGCCAATACCTGATCCTTCGGTCTATTTTTGAACACGTCATTAGCAGCCACCAAAGCTGTCTTGAACAATATTTTAAGTTTGTTTGAGCTCGAGTGCAATTTAATTTCGGAATCCGTGGCGTTCGTACTCAAGTAAGACGAATTAATGTTGTTTGAACGAACCCTATTTTTATCTCGCAAAGTCGATGCTCTTCTAGTCATTGTCAGAAGTATGTCTACGAGCCTATTAATAGTGTCTTTATCCTCGGACATTTTTGACGCTATTTCCAGCGCGTCTTTCTCGTTCACGTACGTTACTAAATTATTTTGATTTTCCATGTGCTGTTGTCGCAACTCTTCGAGTTTCTTTTTCAACTGAGCTTTTTTATCCTCGAGGCTGGCGATTACGTCGTCCATATCGTCGACGAGTTGCTGTTTCAGTTTTTCCATGTCCAGTCTGTGCTGCTCTTGTTTCAGCCTGATGGCCTCCATGTCTAGTTCTTCGATTTCAGAATTGTTCAGGTCGATACTCGACTCGTCCGTGGATTTTTCATCGGACTCGGACTGATCCGACAGATCCTCTTCGATGACGATGATTTCGAAGTTTTCCAAAATATCTTCCTCGACAACCGGCTTTTTATTCCTCTTCAACTTACGCTCACTTTCGTCCTGGGGAGGGGGTCGTTCCTCAGGGGTTGTAGCGAATGTGAGCTGCCCGTCAGCAGTGATGGCCGATTGCGATGGTAAAAACATGGGATCCCGTTGGTCTTCGCCTAAAATCAAGCCTCCGATAAGGGTGGGTTGGCTACCGACGTTTGTTGTTATGCCTGGAATATATTCATCCCCGAATTCGCTTTGTATTGTCTGCCCTGGAACAAACACCTCACCCTCTTCGGTAAGCACCATTTGCCCGCTGACGAAGCATTCTTTCCCAGAAGGGAGTTTCACCTTAACCCCCGATACCTTTCGGGCAGTATCGTTCTCGTTCGCGGGAATGTCTTCGATTTCATGTAAGCAGGCAGTGCCCATGTTTTTAATTAGATCTGGAATCTCGGTTAGTGTAGGCAGTTGATTGAGCATTTCTGGGCCGCGGCTCAAAATAGTCTCGTTGACATTTTTCGTGGCGTTCAAGTCGTCAACCTCCATTTCAATAGGGCACTCGCTGGCAGGTTCCGATAGTTCATCAATGACTCGCTTGGCCTCCTCCTCGAATTTTGACCAGTTCAGATTCTTCATGTTGCGCTTCATCATTTCTTTGTACGCTTTGGAATTTTCCCATTTCTGCTTCTTGCGACGTTTCATTATTTTTTTCAACTCTTCCTCCCACTTTTCCTCTCGCATTTCTTTCTCCTCGAATATTTTAGCTAGACTCATGGTGTACTTACCATGGTGATGGAATTTCTCCTCCTCGGGGGTAGTGGCCCCTTCACCGCAGAGCAGGTCATCGAGGCCCCCCTCATAGTATTGCATTTCTAAGGGAATTTTCTTTCTGTCTTTCAGTTTAACTATGATTTTGTCGTTCTTTTGTGAAACGAGCACATCCAAGATGTCTCCGTCTCTGATGGCATTTTCGAAATCGGAATTGAAAACTATGCAGTATTTTTTGTCATCGACAGCGTATACGAAAAAACTTTTTGTTTCTTTGCTTTGAAGAATTTTTAGGAGTATTTTATGGCTGTCGTTTTCTGGGTCCAACGTAGGAGTCATATAAGTATAATCCTCTAATTTGCTATGGGGTAGCTTGCCAAATTTTTCAGAATTTTCTGGCCTTTTTTCAGAGTGATGCAACAAAACTGGAATGTAATGCTGGACCTTGGCCCCAAGCAGCCACTTCCCAGTTATTCTCAGAGTTCGCAAGGCCTCTTTGGGGGTGAGCGGCTTCAGCAAAGGCAAATAAAAGTTTCTCTTGAAAATCTTACTAGCTCCAGTGATTTTGCAGAAAGACAGCACGTAGTTGACCATTTTAAAAATAAAATTCACACAGTTTTAATTTGTTTTATTTTAAGTGTGATGGACGGATACAATGATTTATTTTCGACAAGAATGATTTTAAAATATTGAAATGATCGGCACTACACAATGGAGTAAAAAACAAGCAAAGTTTTAAACAAAAGAAAATCAAAAATAATATTTCGTATTCGAATCGGCTCGTTCGGCGCAAGATGTTGACATGCCCGCGTCTTCGATGTGACTGAAGCTGCGTCGCGGCGGCGACGCTTGGCAACGGACGCTGCTTCCTCGGCTAGAATCGTCTTCCAAAATCGTTTCCGTATGCGTTCAGAACGTGCTGATACTTCAACAGTCTGGTGGCGTTTTTAGCTTTTTCCAAAATATCCTTCGTCTTATCGTCGTCAAAGAACGTACCTTTTTTTATACTGCTCTCCAACTCTTCCAGTTTCGGGCTCTTCTTGACAGGCTCGAGGGGGACGAATTCCTTGGGCTTCTCGAACTTCATATTTCTGAACTTCTTCCTCATTTCCATTCTCAATTTATCCACTTTGGATTCTTCCCTGAGTATCTTTTCTTCTATTTTTTCTTTCATGCGCTTCTTTTCTGCCTCTTCCCGCTTTCGTCTCTGCTCTTCGAGTAACTTCATTGGATCCTCCATAGGTTGTCTTTGCGGTCTGAAAAATTCTCTAGGGGGAGAAATGTCTTTCTTCAACTCGATGATCGGAGGTCTCTTCTTAACTCTTTCTTTTTTCTCGGGCTCTGTTGGTTCGTCAAAGACTCGACGACGAATGATGATCTCCTCTTCAACTTTTGGCTTCGGTTTCGGTCTGGGTGGTGGAGGGGGACTAACAGAGGGGGTACGCTGTCTTCGTCTAGGTCGGTCTTCCTCGGTCGCTTCAAATTTCAATTGACCTTGCTCGGTTATAGTCGAATCACCTGGTAGAAACATGGGAGGGGTTTCCTCCTCCCCCATTACCAAACCAGGAATAAGCGTCGGCTCGTCATCATCTAATATGGTGATACCTGGCGTGTAATCTGTTGTGCCGTTCTCATTGATGATAGTTTGGCCTGGAACGAAAACCTCCTGTTCATCCGTTGTTACCATCTGTCCGGTTACGAAACATTCTTTGCCGCTGCTTGGCAGTGTCAGTTTGACTCCGGATACGTTTTGTAATTCAGATAGGTGCCCCTGATCCAGATTTTTAATGACTTCCGGAATTTCCTTCATTACAGGGAGTTGACACAATACCTCTGGACCGCCCTCTTTGAGCTTTTCTGCCACATTTATGGTCTTTTCCATGTCGTTCACCTCCATTGGGATGTTTTCCTCCTCCACCACCTCTTCTTTTTCCTCCACGATCTGTTTCGTTTCTTCTTCGAACTTGTCCCAGTCCATGTTCTCGAGACAACCCGAAAGCATCTCTCTCCAGTCCTTGTTTTCTTCGCCTTTGTGCTTCTTCTTCCTTTTGTTCGCCAGTCTCATCATCTCGAGCTCCCAATCCTCAACACCGGATTCTTTAGCTTCGAACATTTTAGCGATAGACATGGTTTCTTTACCATGGTGATGTTCCAGTTCAATGAATTCCTTAGTCCAGCCGCTTCCACGGTAGAGAGGAACATCTTCGTTGAACGGTGCTAGAGGTAGAGTTATTTTCATTCCGTTTTGAAGTTTGACGACTATTTTCTCGCTGCGTTGGGCTATAATGATGTCGATGATGTCTCTGTCTCTGACAGCCTTCTCCATCTGCGAACTGATGACAAGGTTGCAGTTTTTGTCGAACACCTCGTAAAGATAATGTTGGCCCTTACCTTTGGACTTTGTTCGAAGGAGATCCTGTAGCATAGCGTGGCCTTCCATGTTGTCATCGAAAAAGGGCTCGACATATCGTTCTTTAACGCTTTTGCGAATTCTCTTCTTGATAATCGGTACACCTTTGCCCCTTCTTCTCCTTTCAGCAAGTTTTTCATCTTGAGGCTTAAGGACCGGAATGTAATGTTCGATTCTGCTTCCGAGAACGTTTTGCCCAGTTATGATTTTTCTTCGAAGGGCATCTTTCGGAGACAGAGGCTTCAGTAAAGGTAGATAATAATTTCTTTGAAAAAGTTTGCTGGCTCGAGTGATTTTGCAGAGGGATATTTTGATGTTGACGGGCATCTCGCGCAGGTAAAGTCGATGCCAATATTCAATTAAAAAATGATCGCTATTACAGTACTACGAGTCCACGCGCGAGTGGGGCCCAGCATCGATAATGAACTAGAATACCAACGAATGCGGATGGATTTCGATGAATGTGGGTACGAACTGAATGTAATCGATGCTTGGCCCGATGATTGATATTAAAATAGCACAATGGACTGTCCTAATTGGCAGCTGTCCGCTAGATGATCGACTTCCATATGCGGTGACGCATAATCCCCACCGTATCAAACAGCCTCCCATACTGCGCTGGCTCTACCCAATTGAACGGCTCTGATCTCTCCTTGTTCAGATATTTTTTATAATCGACTTCGAAGAATTTGCCCGTTTTTATGCTTGTTTCGAGTTCTTTTAATTTCTCGCTTTTTTTAACAGGTTCAAGAGGAACGTACTCTGGTATCGGGGGTTTATTCTCCATCATTTTCTTCATTTTCATCCTTATTTCTCTTCTCTTCTTGTCTATAGATACTTCTTCACTGGCTTTCTTCCTGTTGAACAACCCGACCCGTTCTTTTTCTTGTTCCAAGATGTCTTTCTCAACCACGGGCACTGTCATATCAATCGGTTTCCGCTCCTTCGGTTTTCGTTTTACTACGGGCTCATTGCTGACCGTCTCTACGGCTGCCTCAGATAGTCTTTTTGCTGTTTTTCTTGACTTTCTTTCACGGTGTTTGGGACCCATACTTTGCGTGTACTGTCGCTTTGGCCTCTCGTAAACGAACTCCTTTTTTTCTCGTTTTGGGGGCGGCGGTGGTCGTGCTTCGATTTCCTCTTCCTCGCTGTTTTGCTCCTCCTCTAACTCAACCTCTTCCACTTCTGGCTCTGGTTCAGGCTCAAGTGGTGGTGGTGGTGGTGGGGACCGTTCCACTTTGTAGTCGTCTTCGGTTTCAGTGAATTGGAGCTCGCCCGTTTTCGTTATGGACGAGTCCCCTGGCAGGAATACAGCTTTATTTGGATCGTCGCCCATTACCAAACCTGGGATGAGAGTTGGTTCACCTTCGAGCAAGACGGTGAAACCAGGGGTATACTCCTCCGTTCCCTGCTCTGTAAAAATGGTCTGGCCGGGCACGAACAACTCGCCATCTTCTGACTTGACCATTTGTCCGGGCACGAAACGTTCTAAATCGGTCGACTTCATATTGACTTTCAACCCTGAAACGTTGGCGAGATCGACCATCTCGCCCTCTTCTTTGATTATGGAAATAATTTCTGGAATTTCAGGCATAGCTGGCAGCAATTTCATGACCTCCTCGCCCGCGTTCTTCAACTTCTCGTTGACGTTCTTTGTCTTGTCCATGTCATTCACCTCCATAGCTATTGGTTTGTCATCCACCGGATCGTGCTGTTCCAACACCATCTGCTTGGCGTCCTCCTCGAACTTATCCCAGTCTATGTTGTCGGCCTGGGCGGCCATCATGGCCTTCCAGTCCGCCGTGCCCTCTCCTCTGTGCCTTCTCTTGCGTTTAGAGGCCATTCTCATCATCTCCAGTTCCCATTCTTCAACCCCGGATTCTTTGGCCTCGAAAAGTTTCGCTACAGTCATGGTTTCCTTGCCGTGATGATGGGTTTCTTCTATTTCTTTCCTTGTCCAACCCTCACCCCTGTAGAAGGGCGCATTGCCGTCGTATACGACAAGCGGCAGGGTGATTTTGGACCTGTCTTTGAGTACGACGACGATTTTCTCGCTCCTCTGGGCCATCATTATGTCTATTATGTCTTTATCCCTCAGGGCCCTTTCCATCTGGTGGCTAATGACTAGGGTGCAATTTTTATCGAAGACGTGGTAGGTGTAGCACTGTCCTCGACCCGGTGATTTTCCGCTAAGCAAGGACATCAGTCTTAGGTGGCCTTCCATGTCTTCGTCGAAAAAGGGCATGACGTATTTCATAGATGCCTTCCTTCTCTGGCGTTTCTTTCCCACACCTTTCCGCATGTATCTTCTCCTGTACCTTCTTTCTTGGTATTCCTCCAGGACGGGAATGTAATGCTCCATTCTGTTTAGGACATTTTTTCCTGTGATGATATGGCGACGCAGTGCATCTTTCGGCGATAAAGGCTTAAGAAGCGGCAGGTAAAAATTGCGCTGGAACAGTTTACTGGCCCTGGTGATTTTACATAACTGTATCATAACCATGAACACCATTTTGGCGGCTTTTTAGGAACAGCACTCGAACAAAAACAACGGAAATACACAGAAGAAGTCGGTTCTATCGGATTCGGTAAACAACTGGCTCAAATGTAGCCAGTTGACGTGGTGGGGAACCTTGTTCTTGAATTTATTTTTGTAGTCTGTGCCAATCATCAATAAAACAATTGAATCGAATGGAATCATTCGTCGTTATCCCTGCGATTTCCTATTAACCGTATGACAGAGTCACGTTGGCTCTTTTGAGACAATTAGTCATGCTCAGAATCAGGTGACATGACATCAATACAAAGTTTAAATTTCGTTTTCCGAAAACTGAAAATTTTGAATTTATCGATACAGCGCAAACGCATAATCCTTATCCAATATCCAGTTTGATAACATTCTTTTTGCGAATATTATGAAAGTGACAAAATATCTTCTTGTATAACACTGAATGAATGCAATTTGCCTCGTGATTACGTATTTCGGGATCGATTTAACTTTATCGATTTGTAGACAGGACGTGATTAAAATATCTCCAAGTGCCCTCGGTTTCTTCTAAAAGCGTAATTGGCAGTTGTAACTATTGTCATGGATGAGCCATTCATTCCTATTCAATTTGAGCGGTTGCGCTCAAATTATCAAAAAGTATTTATTATAGTAGGTCACTTCAGAGAACGGGCACCAGAATTTTCTTTTACTCTCGCGGTATTATTATTTTTCAATGGAATATTCGTCGTTCGTTTGTTTTTTTTTTGTAATATATCAGCTGCATGTAAAATCAGTACTGAGGGCATTCGCCCAGTATCGTGGGAGCTACTGAAAAGTCGTCAAACTTCACTCGCCCTTAGAGAGCCCGTACACGAGCCACATTTTGCGGTCGAATCGACCACACAATGGGGAATGTTCCTCAATTTGGGTTATTACAGCAAATGCAAGTTTGAACAAAATGAAGTTGAGTTTAATTCATGAGTTTTTCAAATTCACTTCGAAAATTATTCAAATTGATGTTTCAAATGTTGGGTTTTAATTTTTTTAATTCACATATTGGCATATATCAAGTTGAAATAATTTATACGTACCTGGATATTCTACTTTAAAAAAAGGAAAATTATCTTTATAAATCAACAATTAAGGCAAAATATAAATTATAGTTCAATACCACCTCCAGAAGCCACATTTATAACAGTTGTTTTGTTACTTATTTATATAGAGGAAGATAGGTTAGATGCACAAAATGTCATATGTCACAGAATGTCTCGGAACATGAGTAAACAGAACAGCACGCCTCTGTTTAGAGCTCTTTTATGAAAACTGCTTGATTTTCGTAAGGATGAACATTCCCCATCGCAGTAGCGTTCCAGCTAACTCAAGCCGCCCATAAGAAATACTGTACTACACGTACACGGGCGTTCACAAAAGTCAAAACGGGCGTCTGCACTCAACTTGCTGCTGATCTCCGCCGAGATGTCATCCCGGCGGATGACACAGCGTTCAATTTTTTATTTCAAAATTCTAATTAATTCATCAAAAGGACTAATGGACATTCTGAAGTCATTAAAAAATTTGTTTTCGTCTTGTCGGAGTTTACCGGTTGTGGCTTGTATGTTATTTCAGTTTTTTGCTTAATAAAATTGTTTTTTCAGCTAATCTTTTTGATTTCTTTACAGATTCTTTCAGGAAATCAATTTATATCATATTAGACAATGGAAGTCTGAACTAATGAAATGCACCAGTGAACATTGTCAACCACCTTCAAACAAAATATAAAAATGTCCTTCCTGTTCTCACGCAACCAGAAGTGGATGTACCCAAAACGATCGTACTTCTCCTTCTCCTCAAAATAAGAAGTGGTAGTGCTTCTTCTTCGAAATGCATACTGAAACTGGCACTAAACTCTGACATAGATGTCAGTTGCCTCAACTGCAAGTGCGGTTTATATGTATTAATCTCTACCAGGTGTCAATGAATTTATTAGATAAGTCATAAAGTCTAGAATATTGGATGTATCAAAATGAGGTTTGATAGTTTTGTAACTGTTAATAAAGAAACTAATATGTGGCATATGTGAAAAGTTTTTACGATCAGTTATCACACGAAGACAATTGTGGATATTGTCAGTTGAGACGTAGTTGTTTTAAAAGTTTTGTCCGTATTTATGAGTCTACTTTATAAACTATGATATCTCAGTGAATTCTTATTCAATTTAATCGAAATATAAAGCAGTGCAGTTGATAACGTAACAAAAGTCGAATTCCATCAGCATAAAAACTGTCTGCTCGGGATTCGATGAAGTCCACGAATGCCGTTTTTGTCTGGTCCTGATTGGCGAAGTTTCTACCGGTGAGAAAGTTGCCGATATGTTTGAAAAGATGGTAGGTCTGGGAAGTATTGTGGGTGAGGTAGAACTTTGAAACTCCGCTTAATTTTCGGACGGTGGCTTGTGAAACGAGCGTTGTCGTGGAACAGTTTCGGACCTCTTCTGTTGACCAGTGCCGGCTCCTTCTGATGGAATTTTTGGCCCAGTTTTAGAAAGTTATAATGAATCACACCAGCCGCTGGCCCCCCATACAGTAATCATGGTCTTTTTTTTGGTGGGTTTTTGCTTTTAAAATGTGCCTGCAAGGCCATAGCTAGGGAGGTCAAGGGGAATTGATCCCTCCCCGAAAATTCTACAAGCAACGGCCATCCAAAAAGTACATCAAATACAACGATTGGCTTAATTGAACGTCACAGGAGCCATGAGAACAACGCCAACACCGGCAGTGGAATTAATTACGGGACTGACCCCTCTGGATCTGTACGTTAAAGAGGTTGCAACCGGTGATGCAATTGAACCCAGGTTTGTGTTTAATAAACTCTACAAAATAGAAATAAAACAGAACACAAAGTCAGATGCTTCAAATGCAAAACGTACATATACAGACGGCTCAAAAACCAAAGAAGGCTCAGGATGTGAAGTGTTCTCCAAATCACTAAGCCTAAGGATTAAGTGGGGATTGGGAAAAAATACCAGCGTGGTTCAAACAGAACCGGCTGGTATCTCAATTGCCACAAAAACATAACAATCTGCACTGATAGCAGATAGCAGCTGATAGCAGGGCGTTGAACAGACAACATGTTATCTCAGGACTAGTGATAGAGTGCCACCAAGATTTAGCCAAAGGTTCGATAGATAATAACATTATCCTGACACGACACGACAGGAGTAAAGGTAATCGCATTGCCGACTCTTTAGCCAAGGATGCAGCTTGACTGGGAGTTTTAGGACCTAGTGGCACATATGGCCTGATGACTTCGATAATTGCGCAACTAGCCAAACGTTACACCCATGCTCAATTCCTAAAGAGATGGGATGGAATCAAAGGATGCAATCTTGCGAGGATCACCCTGGGCGACCCTGTGAAGAAATATCTGGCGATTACCAGAAAAAATCTACACTTAACAGTAGGATTTCTGACTGGCCATAGTCAACTAAGAAAACACCTCCATAATATGTGGCTAGTGGACACACCTCTATGCAGGATGTAAAAACAGGAAGATGAAACTGTCAGGTATGTCCTATGTGAGTGTCCGGGATTATCGTCAATAAGAGAGTGTGTGTGTTCGGCGAGTCTTGGCCTACACCTGCCGATATAAAGGAGATGTCTCCTAGTGACCTGTCCACTTCCTGGAAATGATAGAATGGACGATAACCTAGGAGGACAACTCCTCGGGAGGATGTACAATGGGTCACATGTGGCCTAAGTGCTGTGGGCCTTCACTCACCCTCCCTACTCTGCAGATACAGATTAATTTTGGAATTATAATATCCGTTAGAAATGTTATCAAGTCCTTGGCAAAACGAACCAAGTGCTCGAAATAAAATATTGAAATTAACTTCCCCGAAACATAATAAAAAACCTCACGGTACTGTGCGTACAAACTTTTAAAATCTTGGCGACACTACCTGTTTCCACGTGTACCTCTGAAAGGACTTTCTCTTTCCTGAAACGCCTCAGAACTTATTTAAGAAACTCCACAAGCCAGGAACGACGAAACGGTTTGGCGTCAATGTCAATCCACCGTAGAATTGACATCGACACTGAGGAAGTAATTGATTTGTTTGCTGCAAAGAAAGCTATAAAACTAAATATGATTGTGTAAAAAGATGTTGATATTTCTGTAATGTAATACTTTCATGTAACACCATTTTCTTTCTTTCGTTATTTTTATATTTCATGTTTTTCTATTGTTCCTTGAAACCTGGGTGCCTGGGTGGCTCATCGGTGTCCAGCCATTTTTCTTATCGTCTCCTGATGTAGAGGAGCTACTTTTCGTCACACCGATCCAAAAAAGGATCGTTTTAGTTAGCAAAGGAGAACAGTCTGCGGATCCTGACAATGTATAAGTTTGACAATGTCCTTATAGGACGAAACTGCACTAACGTTAGTTACAAATAAAAGTGGTAAAAACATAGAAAGTTTAAATTCACTTTTTTTCAATATTGTGCTTATTTATTACATATATAATAATAATAATACCACCACCACCAGCGCAAAACGATATTTGTCGTGGAATTTTCAGTTCCTGGTGAGACGAATATCGTCAGAAAAGAGGAGGAAAAACGAGTAAAATGTCAAGATTTTCTCTTCGAACTCCGCAGACTCTATCCAGATCACTCTGTCAAGGTGGTTGTTCTGATTATTGGAGTCCTTGGTGGAATGATGTCTTTTTTTTTCATTAAAATATCCAGTACAACTTTTTATTATTTTCATTTTGAACCTAAAAAATAACTTATTTTCAGACTGAAACATCCATTTGCTGAAAACAGCAAATAAATATCAGTCATATCATTTTGTCAAACTATCTACTATCAGATTGTAATCGAATTCAATAATGTGAAAACATTTTTTAGGAAATGGGGATTACTGAAAAACCCAATTTTAAAATACATTTATTGTTTTTCACATTTTCTGTCAACTTTTTCCATATTAATGCTACTTCTTGCATGAGAGACTCTTGAATATTTTTAATAGAAAAATAAACCACTCAGTTACTCAAATGGGCTAATAGAACGACGAATGGAAACCAGAGATGAGGAATAATCAGCCTCGTCTAATTTTTACGGAATTCAATAGTATCTCCAAGCAATCACTACCTTCTCCAACCGAAATATTACTGAAATATCCTACAACTTCATTTCAATATTGAACGTCACGTTGAAATACTTCAAACTTCATAGTCATCTTCATTTTCATCAGGTTGGAATTTTTGTCCCTTACCCTTTCAACTGAGATTCGTTACTTCAAACTTATCAGCACGAAACATTATAATATGAATAAAAAACACTTCTTCCGTTTCCATCACAACCAGTTATTATGCAACAGGCTCTAAGAAAATGGACTACAGAAGAAGTAATCAAGAGAGATGGAAACCCTAACTGATATTTAGTTAAAACACAAGATTGTGGTCGGTCGGTAGCCGGGCGGTTCGACGTGAGTGCTTTGTTCACTCAATCAATCGGTCGGTGTGAGTCGATGGTTTAAGCACCAGGCTGAACGCTCAATTTTCACTTGCTATCGTCCAAACCGTGTTAGGAATCACACGTTAAAAGGTAAGACCTCGTTAGTCCTCAGCTCGCACAAGTTTCGACTTCTGAGGGTTGTCGTTCGTAGGGGTTCGATAGCTGGTTAACGGGAAAAAACATATTTTAAACCTATTTTTAAATATATATCGAAGGAAAAAATTCATTTGTGCCAAAATGGTCTAAGGCTTTCGAGGCTGAGGATTTAAGTGACACTATTTTTCGGGTTCGAAGGCCGTCGATTCTTGAATTTTTTTCCAGACATATCGTTGGCGCGAGTGGCTAGCTTCTTAGAGATTTATGCATCCTGAGTAATCTCCGATGACTGGATATTACGGCTGCGTAAGGCGTATTTATGTTGACTCAGGCAGTTTGGTGTGCTAAAACATGTACCTGGATTAGGTTAATTTCGTAAAGCGTATTCATTTTGACTCAGATAGTTTGGTGTGCTAATACATGTATCTGGGTTAAGTAAACTGTCTATGAATTCAAGAAGATCTTCAAGAAGAAGATCAGACTGTTGATCATCCTCTTGAAGATGATCATTTGGTGATCGAAACACGTGTCGAGGTGTTAAAATAACTGTTTGGTTTTGGAAAAAACTCCAGTATTATTCAATATGAGAATCCATTTTTCTGATATTTCTTTCGAATAGAGCAAATCGGATTTTTGTTATAAACAATAAATCATGAAACGACAGGGTAAATGGATTCTTGTTAGGATTCTAAAATATGTCATAGAAGAATTGAATCATGAAACACATATTTCTCTAAGAAAACGTGTTTCGCGAATGAAATGGATCGTGTGAATTGTGTTCAACTGATCAGTGTTCAAAAAACGCCATTTATTGCCTCAATATTCAAATCATAAAAATTATTTACAATATTTTTCTCAAAATTTGTGTATTCTTTCGAAATGTAGGTGTCAGAAACTTTGGGAGGAAGATATTATCTTTATACTATGAATCGAACGCACCCGCTGAAAAGTCTAACGGCAAGATATCTTAACCACTTATTCGAGAACGATGCTCTTGTTATTAGATTCAGAGTTGTCACTTTCATTACTTTTGTAATGAAATACTACTGTTAAATATTTGTATTTCTATTTCTGATTATTATGCTAGTAGTTTTTACCAGTTTCACGTACATCTTGACAGCTTATGTCACACGTTTATGGACATGGAAACAAAGGTTTTGACTTTCTATTTCTTCGCCCTCAAACAAAAAATGAGGGAAACTTCCAAAGAAACGAAGAAAGCAACTAATTTCAAAATGAACTATTTTCAAAGATTTGTAGATCATGCAGAGAAGTAAGTTTCACTAACTGGAAGAAAGAGACCTCTCCTAAAAATATTTTAATGTAAACATTCAATTACACTAAAGAAAAAGTAGTTGTTCTAAAATCCTTTTTTGAAAATTTGACTATAAAACAATGGCAGATATAAGAAGTACGAAAACTAAATAATATAAATTTTAGTACTAAAAACAAATCTCGCGTGGCATAGCGGCAACCCTGTTCAGATTGTTTAATTTTGTTGGTGTATATTGTCGGCATTCAGCATTCATATTTAGGTATTTTTAAATTGTGTTCTATTTTCTTAATATTGTGCTTGCTCATTAGGATTGTTTTGATCATCGACAATTATGACTGACAGAAACAGGTGAGTCATATTTCAGTTACTTTCGCGAGCCTGGTAAAAGTAAGTTCAAAAGGCACACATGGAGAGGAGGTAGCATGTTTTCAAACCTAATACTCACCTGTTCAATGTGGTTCAATCTCAAATGAGTTGTAGTTGATCAAATATGTATTGAAGTCTTTTCAATTCCATGGTGGACTTTCTGGATTCTTGATACTTTGTATATTTCTTATAAAACCCTGGCTCCTGGCATGCTTGAAAATGAGGGCTTTCTTGCACAGCTTGCTACATCAAATTCCTGTAAAGATACTCATGACTTATTATGTATCCAACTAAACTAAGAATTCTATGAAAGGAAAAATTAGAGCTGAAGATTAACTATAACTAACTCTACCAATAATGTACATACTCTGAAGTCATGGATAGTCTGAACAGTATTGATTACAGATCTTTTTCAATCAGAATCTTAGCTCACAAAAGTATAATGATTACTGCATACGGACATTGAAAAATGTCAGAATTATAACACCTGTTTGTTGCTGCATATTGAAATGTTCATGTTACTTGAAAAATATAATTGGCAGAGGCCTGACACTAAGAGGTAATCGTTTTCTCGGAGGTGCTGTTCGCAGCTCACGCAATCAAGTCTCAAATCTAATACTTTTAAACCCGATGTGAAAATTTTATCGGAGGCTTTTGATGTGTTCTGCTTCTCTTTTTCTATCTTTTGTATATTATTGATCATTGGAAGCATGTAGTATGAAGAACATGAAATAATATTCTATTCTTGAAGCCAGCTAAAGAACAGGTTTCGAGATATTACCTCTCATAGGTGCAGTGTAGTCTGACGACACTAACCTAACCTCTGTGAGATATATTGCATACATGTATGTCGGATATAATTAAGTATCCAGCGTGATATTAGCCGGGACAGTAATTGTCTTCTGGCAGGCATTTGCAGCAACCTACGGTGTGGGTAATTGGAAAAGATAAATGTTTCGATATTTTATTTCGAAATATTTATTGCCTTATACAAGTGTAGGTACCTCTCGACGATACAGTCTTCACAATTAGATCATCTGAAGTTAATATCCTTATGTATAAACCACAGTGCACATGTTCACGAATCTTCTCGATTCATAATTATATACACACAATACACTAATATAGTTAGCTGGGCTACTAACTTGTATTAGTAGTTAGTTTTGCATGCTTAGTAATAATTTATAATTAAGGTCTTTATAGGTTGGGAGGTAGTGCTAGAAATTTTGAAGTTCTACAAAGCTGCTGATATAGAGTAGGTATCACATGCGTACACATTTTTTTTTTCGAAACATTCAAATAAAAATCGTGTTGAAGTTTTATAATTATAGCCCTATTAGAGTGAAGCTTCGTAGAATGGTTTACTGCTAGTCTTGTCTTTGTCATGGAATGTACAATCTCCGCAAAAAAATATAAACAGACAACAGAAAATAACATCTCCATGTCAATGTCAAGTGAATGAAATCAAACTACACACACATCGATTCAATTCTTGGTTCTAATAGGCAGAGCTTGAAAAATTTTGTTTGTTGCAAGTATGAGGTTGATTCCTAAGATATTTATAGTGGGAAAATGTCAGTCATCGAGTACAATTATCGAGTAATTACCGTTTCCCTATCACATAACTCAGTTAAAGATCTTGTTGTATATTTTAATCAACATTTATCTTTTTTCAACCACATCAGATGGAAAGTAAGTGAAGCATTTAGAGTTTATGGCTTTATTGTTCGCAATTGTAGATCTTTTTCAAACATATCTGCTCTTTATGTAGCTCATTTATTATATTATCTTATCCTGATAGAGGTATTCCATATAAACGTCTTACCATAACATTCAATATATTATATTTTTGTTATTCATTTTCTCAAATTGTAACTTTGTAGTTATAAGCACCTATATTACTTTTCAACATACCTAGTTAACCCTGTAAATGGTTTTTAAATGTGGGGTGATGAAGGCTATCATTATTATTATAAGGGATAGATTGTCATTTTTCTTTCTTGTTTCACAAGTCCAGGTTATGTTGGGTGATATCTCCCAATGGGAAATGCCTCATTCTGAGGTCTTGTTATTCACTCTACATCAGTCTTGTAGGTAAAAGGTAGTAATGCAGCATTTAATTATATTTTTTAATGTTATTAACAAACCCAACAATGAAAAGCTGGTACACTTATGATTTTTAGTCTATAATATAAACACTAAGCGAAACAAATATCAGCTTTCTAGAAATGCAGAACTAAGAAACTTCAACTGGTGATTCTTTCATTTTACGTTCTACTTCACTACTAACACTTTTCAAACTTACGTTAATTTAGGAAAAAAAGTTATATGAAGTACTGGTGATATTTTGACCCCATCTATACATTCCCGAGAGGAAAAGAGGAAGTCCAGGGACACCCTGTACAGCTTAAACTATTCAAACATTCATTATCAACCTTTTTTGGGTATTTTTACTTTCCACAATCTGATAAAAAACTGATTTTCCTCTGCAAAAAATGACTTTTGTTTAATATTAAACAATGTGACTCCTTGCCGTTATAATCTATATGCACTTTCCAATCACAGTGGGTCTACCTACAGCGGACATTATACAACATTCTGCAGACATCCCTATACNGTTTTACATAATTTACTTACTTATTGTTTACTTCGAATTTACAATTTTGAGAAATATTGTGATTAAAATTGTTATTTTTATTATTCAATAATTATAATGTTAGAGGACAATTTTGAATATAAATAATTGAAACACAACTGGACAGTAACGAATTGGCTTTATTGTGCAATACTGATCAAAAAGAGTTATATAATTGACGATTTTTTCAAATGTTATAGAAAAAAATATTTTCCAAATATCAACACCCATTGTCAATGTTCTACTCTTGAAAAGTTTTTAAATTCGGCCTAAAATTGAAATTTCATAGAAGCTATATTCATTAATTCTGCTTCAATCAGTCGTGATTAACGGAATCATATGATAAATTCATCAAACTTATATTCAATAAACTATTTTTTGGGTAAATATATTGTTTTGAACTTGAATGATTNGAGAGATTAGTTTTTTTGGAAAAAGCTTTTCGGCCTTTTATAGATCATATACAGAATTTTCTTTCAGATGCATGAAATATTCTCTAAATTGCTTGCACTTCTTCCTTTCATTGTCTGATCTTTTCAGCAGTGTTCTTTGGGTTGATCAGAAAATGCTTCTCAAGTTATATTTTCTTTTTGTTGCGTTTAAAGAGATTTCCGGGAATAACGAAATGGTTTTACCAATACTGCTCATCTACTAGTACCTGTAAATAGTATGAGTACCCGTCTTTCATTTATTTTTCATTTCAGGGTTTCATAAAAAAAGAATTTGGAAAGTTTGGAAACGTAACAAAATTATATCTAACAGGAGAATTTGCTAAAGTATATTTCGACGATTTAGAGTAAGTTTGTATAGTACTTTTTCAATTCCACTACATTTTTTCACTTCATTGTGTATTGAATCTTTTGCTTGGATTTTATACTGACTAAAATTTCATCTACAATAATAATTGGTATTAGCACTAAGAAGAGTACCAAAAACAAAAATGTTCGAGATCTTATTTTTTTAATGGAAATTACATTTTTAGGTCCTGTCATAAAGCTTGTAGAGAATTGAATAACAAATTCGGCTGGACAGTTGAGCAGGAAGAAAATAAAAATTTTCGTAAATCCCCAAGGGGTAATTCACAACCGTTTGGGGGGAACTCTGAGAACAGTTCAAGGTATGTAAACATCTCAATCTTATAGACAATAAACATATTCCTCTTTTTCTCGCATATTTCAATATTTGTTATACCATTTGTTACAACTTGATAGTCAGCTGACCATTGGCCAATGTCTTCATTTGTAGATACCTTTTTAAAAGTTAATATAGTTAATGTGTTTACTTTTAGGGGTTTTTCTCAATCTGCTTCTTCAAATTTAGGGACAACTTCCGTGAATCCTCAAAACAAAATGAACAATTACGACTATCTAGATGACGAATTTTCTGAAAACACGGACTACTGTGATATACATGGAAATCCGCTGGTTTTGTTTCAAGCAGATTCTGGTGCAAAGTATGTCAATGTGGAGGATGTTCGAAAGGCAGGGTTTGCCATTTTCAGAAGGGATTGTTTCAACCCTTTGTTAGTTGATAGAAGGTTGGTATACAGTTTTTACTGCTAAATTGAGATAGATTTGTTTTTTCATGAACATGGCACTTGTTAGCAAACTCTACCGATAATATTGAAATTATAAGAGACCTCTGCAGTTTTTGCAAAAAGTAGAAGAAACTTATTTGAAAAATAAGGTTTTATTGTTTTTAAAAATTTTCGAATAATGATACACATTTGGAAGGCTTCAGTAGCTCCTTAAAGTGATGAAAATATATGTTCACATAGACTTTGCTTGACACATAAGAGGTCTGTTAAAAAAATTGAGTGAATTTTCATTCGTCTCAAAAAAATATTTTTAACAGACCTCGTACTCGTCGTCAGAAGGATATGATCAATTCCTTCACTGGAAAGATATCATCTAAGTGACATCTCTCCTAGAAACTACCAATAAAAATGAAATACTTTTCGGTAACAGGTCATCAAAAATATTCGTTTTTCTTGTAGGCAAATCCAGAAGGAATTTGAATTGCATCTGTTGTCAGAAGCAAAGACTTACATTCTGAAAAATAAAGCTGTTGCTATAGATGAAGAACATATCTTACGGACAATAGAAAGGTGAGTTTATTGTGTGAATGCAAACAAAAGGAAGTGATATCTAATTTTGTATTTTTTCAGTTATTTTTTGCACTTTTTGTTTCCTTTCTTGATTTTCACACTAAAGCTCTTGGAAGTTTTTACCTCAAAACCTCAAAGTATAGTTACAGTGAATGAATTTATATGGGTATTCCTCATTATGATTTTTTGTAATACTAAAAAGTGAAATGTTAACCAATGAATACTTTGTGGTTAAATTTTTTGAATAAATAGCTTCATCAGACAAGAAATTCGTTCAGATGCCTTTGAGGTTGGAAAGTTTCCACCGTTGGCGAGTATGCCGCAGTCGTCTTCTGATAGTGAAAGAAAGAAAGAAATTTATTCATTCATGGACCAACTGTTGTACTCTGGTATAGGATTTTTCTGCCTCTCACTCAGACCCCCGTATTTCCTTGTACGTCTCTTGATAATGGCTAATTTTGTAGTTTCCATCATAAGACGGACATAGTTCAAAGGAATTAACAACTTCGATTATAACCAAACTTGCAGAACAATATTCAAATCCACCAATATAATGACAATCTACGCGATTTATATCTATGAATGCCTAATGTCCATTTATAAAAATTCACACCTCTTCACTGAGAATATACCTACTCACAAGTATCCCACTAGAACAAACGAATATATGTATCCCCTTCTTAGATTAACAGTAACTGAAAAAAGCACCCACAATATATCATCAAGCTTTTCAACCACCTTTCTGACAGATTAAAACGAACTAAGAAAATTGGAGTTTTCAAAAGAGGACTAAAAAAACTTCTCATAGACTTAGAGCCCTATGATTTGAACGCATATATATCTCACTGGAACATTCATTTAAAAATATTTATAACAAAAAAATCTGAAACTCCTTGTTTGACGCCATTTTATTCTATGTTACTGAGCTTTCGCAAAAAAAGTTTGTAATCTATTCTGAAATGAAGCTGTTTATTATTATTATTAATTACAGTCCACGTACATTGATACTCAGCAATATATATATTATANCAGGTGAAGATACCTGTCCAGACACATCAAATCTATATTTTCAATATCAACATATAGCAAATAGAAAGTTAAGAGCCAAAACCGAACCTTGTGGGGCATCCAAAATTGAAACTGCTTAAAAATATTTACAATTATAGTAGAATATTTCCTCCCTATTGTTTGAAAACTTGATTGGCCTGATTATTAACCTTATTTTTCAGGGAAAACAATGGTTTTGATGATGAAAAGTTCGAAAATAGGGGATCGTTCACTCACAAATCACCTTTAGAAGACAATGTTGCTTCTGGCTTTAATAGGGGAAGGAGTAAGAGTAGGCATCGGGATGATATCTCTGATACTAGCAGTAATTCTGATAGGAGAAAGAAATTGTCCGATCTTGAATCTGTAGACAAAATTGACACAGTTGAGCTAGAAAGCGGATGTTATTATGATGTGAGTTTCATTTTTTCAAATTAATTTTTTTGTCAATTGATGGATATACAATAAATAGAACAATTAATAACGTTAGTGACAGTTACTTGGGAATGGTCTGATAAACCGAAACCGGTCGTAGCAAATGATAACTGTAGGTGACAGTTACTTGAGAATGGTCTAACAAACCGAAACTGGTCGTAACAAATAATAAACTCTGTAGAAATTAGACAAAAGTTATTTTCTTTATCTAATATTCAATATTAATTTCTACAAAATAATAGGTCATCAATCGAACAAGAAAGATAGAATGAATGTCTAAATCGTAATAATGAATAATTAACTTTTCTGTACCCCAAAATGGGACAAATATGTCGAAGTCTATTATTTGTTATGACCTGTTTCGGTTTGTTAGACCATTCATAAGTAACTGTAGGGGACAGATACTTGATAACAGCCTGAAAAACCGAAACCGGTCGTAACAAATACAATGTCAACTAGTAGACTTATAATGCCATATCTTGCAATAAATGTTTTTCCCTATGATTCGATTTTAGATGAAGATAACTCACATAGAAAAGGAGAATATATTTTGGGCTCATAAAACTGATTCGTCCGTTGAACTGGAAAACATGTTGATACAACTTTTTGACACGGCGCCAGAATTAGAGGATTTACAAAGTCCTATAAGAGGCCAATTAGCTCTTGCAGTGTATGAGGATGTTTGGTAAGTGGTCTATTACATTTGCGATATTCATCATCTTCAAGTTTAGATCAAATATTTCATCTCTTTCTTCCTTCTCCCTCTTTCCTTCTTTTTCTCTCCCCTTTCCTCTGTATAGTTACATATTGTTAACCTCAATTTAATATTCTTATTATCACATTATCTTATTATCACGATATCACATTAATTTATTCACACAAAAATCACAACTCACTGGTCAGACTGGCTAAGGAAGCGGAAGAGAAAGCCGAGTCTTTGGTTTCTCGCGAATAGACTCAAGCAAATAACGACAAATTCCAGCAATTAATAGTAACTACAAATACATCTCTGCAGGAAGACAGAAATGTCAGACTGCTTGGCCTTGTCCTGGATGACAAACTCACCTGGTCAAACCATGTCAGTCAACTAAGCCTAAAATTGTCCAGATCACTCTTTATAATCCGCCAACTGAGGCCTGTAACAAACTCATACACCCTACGAACTGTCTATTTTTCCCTCTTTCAAACCCATCTTAATTAGGGTTTACTACTTTGGGGAAACTCAACAGCGGCACCAAAAATATTCATACTACAAAAAAAGTCGCGCACGTCACAATTGGTTTATGGCTACCAGTGGCGGCCGGCGTTATTTTTTTCAGGGCATGATTTACAACAATATAATGAGAATATAAGCGGAAAGTGGTAGTTTTTTTGAAGACATTATATTTCCAGGTGCAGAGCCAGGGTTTTGAACGAGAGTGATTATTTTGTCCACTTTCTCGACTACGGTAATAGACATAAAGCAGAATCCCTGAAAATCTTTCCTGAAAATTTAAGGAAGATTCCAGTCCTTGGATTGAGATTTGCTCTGAGTAAAACCGATTTATCTTTGGCTACAGATTTAGAACTGAGGATCATGATTAAGAAAAAGGTATGTTTTCTTATTTAATAAAAAAAAAATTGTGTGCAGCAAGGGCATAAAAGTCTTCACACATTATGTTGGTACACTATACTTTATCTACGCTTACACGACATTAAATGTATTGAAAGCCCCTCAGAGTTTGGGAAAGCAATCAAAGTGTTACTTTCTGACAGATCATATTATAGTTTGGGCGAATTTTATGATGATAACTTCCACTAACACTCTCTCTGAAATAATTTCCATTCCTTTTCCGTTAAGCATCTGTAATAACTTACACCATTTTAAAGTTTTGTGTAATTTTCCTCTTGATTTTTACATTTCATTTTCTTATTACCAAATTTTACATACGTGGACAGTTTCTTATTCGTAGTAAACATCTGTTTTTAGCATATTTTTATATGTATATGTGTATATGTTCCTATAAATATTTTTTTAGGTTTTAAATTACATAGAATTGGTATATGCTTGTATACATTTTCATCTTAGTCACACACTCTTTGTCAATAAGATTCATTCTTCTGACAATAAAGCTTATTCATTATTATATACAACTATAAAATGGATACTTCCAATTGAAAACATTTTAAACATTCATTTTCATTACTATAGTAATAATTGATATTCAAGTGTATAGATTTTCAACTTATGATTTACTTTCTGTTTGATTTGTATTATTAGATGAAGACTCTATAGTAGGTCTTTTTCTGCAGTTTTATTAATGGTATAGTTTTTTTGGTTCATTGAGAAATATGTCAATTTTACTTGGGGCTTGTCGCTTTCATTAATTCTCATGCCTTGTTTGGTACATCTATCTGCCAGATTGGTGATTGACGAAAAAATTGTTTTCTGTATAGTTTGTAAAGCGCAGGGCCATGACGATTTTTGGATCAAATTATTCCATTGTTTGTTTTTTGAAAATGGAGATGTGTATTATACTACGACGACCTTTAGGTTATGTTCAAAGTGAGTGGCTTTATTGGACCCTGCGTTGCAACCCGCGACGATTTTTTGTGGCTCAAACTCAACCAAACATCCTTTAAGAGTAGTATACTTCATTCCTCGCAGTGGATCGTAACTTCATTTGACGAAATACAAGATAGATCCATGGTTGTTTTTGAGAAGTTGTTCAGAATTGACAAATACAAATTTTTGGGAAAACCTGTTTGTCGTTCGTAATAGTTTGGTGCTGCAAATAACTCAAAATAATAGAGATATTGATTTGAAATTTTGAGCGTTTGTAGAGTTAGTGAAAATCTCCATACTTGATTTTGAGTGAAATCAAATAATTGGAAAAGAATTTTTTGTTAAATATGCGATTCATTTCATATTATAGTATACAAATAATATAATGAATTTATTTATTAATAAGTCAAATTCTAAGTTAGATTATTTTAGGTAATACTCAATTCAGTTAATGAAAGTGTCTCTTCAGATGTTTTCTTTTTCAAATAAATCCCATAAGATGACATTTCACACACCTGTGCTTGAAATTGTACTTTACCTACAAATATTGATGAGAAAAACTAAATTTCACACACAGGAGTAGAAAACAGTTTTTTTGTCCACCTGGTTATTCTCAAAGTTGGTTTTAANTTGTGAACGGTTACAGATCTTCTCATGCCTAGTGTTGAAGAAGGACAGATGGTTCTCTGCTGCAAAGATGGACTATCCAGCCTTTATCGAGCTGTGGTTTCTAAGAAGACTTCTGATGCTGCTACTGTAAGGTATCTCGACTATCCTGGAGAAGAACAACTGTCCATTAACTCTTTGAGGAACGTTGACGATTTCTTGGCCAGCCAACCCACGTGCTTGCTCCGCTCGCCAGAATTTGAATTGCTTGACAAATTGGGACCAAAGGGTTCTGAGTATGTTTTCCAGTTGCTGAGTCAAAAGGAGAAGGTTAAAGTGGTATGTCGATTGTTTTTCATATAATCTGTTGATGAGTAAAATAAATGGCCAGAATATCGGATATGATGTCACTCAGTTTGGACCAATGTAGGTTGTTTATATTCAAGATTCTCGAGAATCCTGAATATAAATCCAGAATCGTCTGGCGTAGAATAATTCCAAAACAAGTACTTTTTCCAATAAAAAGAACTGGCGAAAAGCGTGTGAAAAAGAGTATTGCAGCTCTGATGGTGTTTTCGGTAGATGAAAAAAAGTCAACTTATTTTGGATCTACCTGTCAATTTTTTTTTTCATACACATTTATCAAACTTGGTGAAGAAATGATTAGAAGAATAAATTTAGCATTACCTCACTTAAAGTNAATAAAATTAAAAGTAACAGCACGTCTGCAAACACTGAGGAAGCAAAACCAAAAGTTGCAAAGACAGGTATGCTATAAAATTCAATTTATAGAATGTATCATGATCGAAAATACCTTAAATTGAAATAGGTATATTTGTTAGGAGAGATTAGATCTGGGAAAAAAGCTTTTGACTTTCTACTTTTCCAACTTCACACAAAAGTTGTGGAAAACTTCTGAAGGTAAGGAAAAAAGCAATTCATTTGAAAACAAACTATTTACAAAGAATTCTAGATCATGCATATATGTTGCTTTCAGATACAAACTGAATAAAAAAAATGGCGATTCTCATATAATTCCATGTTCATGTGAAATTAGTTGTTTCAGAAGGCTTTGTTCGTTCTTCTAAAAGTATTTAATAGTAAAGTCTATGCATGATCTACACATCTTTGTGAAGAGTTTATTTTGACCTAAATTACTTTTCTACTTCTTGCAGAAGTTTCCCACAAATTTTGTGTAAAGATGTAGGAGTAGAAAGGCAAAATCTTTTTTCCTAAAAATAGAAAATAATTCTATCGAAATCATAAACACAGTAAGAATAACTGCCAAAAAGAAATATCTCTACTCAATTGGCAGATAGAAATATCTTATTTATTCAAATACGAAATAGGTAAATTTTGAAGAGATGAAATCAAAACAAATCATAGACACACTTTCAATTATAATAGTACTTGTCCAAGTTAATCATTTTTGTGCAATAAAAAGAGGTATACTTGTGTTATCTAACCAATTGAATAACCCTATTTATGTAATTGTCAATATACTTAATCTTATTGTTTTTTTATAACGAGTATTAGTTAAAGATAAGCATTAATGAATGATCTCGAAAAAAGAGGAAATATTTTAACATTCCCTGTTTATTTCAATCTCTACCTTTCCTGGTCTGAATTTCAAAATTCCTACGTAAATAATCTTAAAATGGAGTATTGGTCGTCAGTCTCAACTCATTTCTTTAAAGTAAACTGTGGAAATCAGTTGCGAACTCAATTAAAATTCCCCCCTAATATAGGTTGTCTTGAATATTGTCGACTCTATTATAAATATATAACAAACCACTGACACTAATTGTTTTGGCAGTAAATGCAACATACCAAACATATATTGAATGATTCACAGATCATAAGAAACTTAAGCACAATGAATTAACAAATGTGTGTTTGCAAGTCGATATTTTTCTTTGAAATGTTTGAACATTTCAACTGAATCTTCCTTTGAGACATTAATGGTTCATAGAAACCACCTTTTATTTCTAATTTCAGTTCAAGAGGAGGCGCCATGTGTAACTTATGATGACATGGACTGGATCAAGCTCGAAGTAGGTTCGACAGAAAACTTTCTTTGTTACACATTAAAAGACTTGAAAGACTTGACGTTAATCTCTCTGGGGGATGAATCTATAAAATACATGGAGATGATAACTGATCTGATCGTAAGTGATGAGGTTCCCTANTGTGACACAAAAGTCTCACATAGCTGTCAACTATCATTTTACATTACCCGTATTTGAAAATGCGGGTAAAAGTTGGTATCTTCGATTAATTGATAAATAATCCGTTTATTCTTTTAGAATAGAATTATCGTTAGAAACATAATGTCTCTTTGATTTCATTGGGAAGTTCATTGCATATCCTGATTCCATTATATATCAACGAGTTTCGAACAAACCATGTTTTTGGAATTGGTGGATTTAGTTCATTTGACAGTCTTGTGTGGTATGTGGCTGTAGATACAATATTCTTCCTATTTTTATGTATAATCGATACAGTTTCCAATATAAATATTGAAATAACCGTAAGGATTCTATGTTCTCGAAAAAGGGCTTCACATGAATCCCGCCATATCCCTTAACATAGGTACCTAATATCTCTTTCCTGGAAGACAAAAACCGACTACATAAGTTGTTTACTGTACCTTCCAATTTGAAATTTGATCAATATAGAGACCAAGTAATTAAGTAGTTTGTTTATAGGAAATAATTTTGTTACCAAATGGAAGTAGAATGTTAATATTATTGATTTTTCTGAAAATATATATATGAGATGATTTATCAAAATTCAAGCTTAATTTGTTTTTCATTTCTCTTCAACGCTGATGAAATTGGAAGTCACTTCTACACAAATAATTTGTGAATCTTGATTTTTTTTCCATTTATAGTGTTGTTTATGTTGTTGAAATGCGTGTGTTTTTAAAAGTTAAAGTTAAATAAGCAAAATACAGTACCAATATAAAATTATATCTTTTTTTTTTCAGCTCAATGGTATAGAGGCGTGGTCCTTGAAAAAGAAGAAAATGGAGACTATTCATGTCAGACCGTCGATTTCGGAAATCAAATAGTAGTCAAAAGCAAGGATATCAGGAGGTTTCAGGAACATCTGAAAAACATACCCATCTTAGGAATTTCCTGTGAATGTGTTGGTAAGTTGAGATATACAATACAATAGTTGTATTGGATCCTACCACCTGCTCTAAGCCATACAACAGCATTTTACGTTTTCAAGCTATGAGAGACATTTTCTTCTTCAGGTATCCCGTACAATGACGCTGTTCTCAACAAATTGAAAGAGCTTATACCCGAAGGGGAAGAAGTGACTGTGGTAGTCAAGGGATTTGAAGAACTGAAATACCAAATAGAACTACCGAATGTGTATAAAATTTTGAAGGAAGAGGGTTTGTGTTGAACTGAAATCCTCTTGTAGATCATTTTTTCTATGAAAAAATTTTTTAAAGACTAAACAGGTGAAGATACCTGCCCAGGATGTGTGTATCAACATACCAAGTAATTCATTGTGATTTAAGGAAACATTCATCTATTAGCGCATGCTGAACTTGTATGGACTTTTTATTTTATGAACTTCAGTATTCATCTATCTGTTCCTTGGGATTTATTAGTTTGTTTTTAGATTCACCGTAAAATCATTTTCTTTACTGGCAGATTGCATTTTCCATCTTTTAGTCGTGCAGTACTGTTTTAAGGCAAAAGTTGTTAGAAGTTTGACCGTCCTGACCTCCACAGTTGTTATTGTTGGTTGCTAGTTTTTTATTTTCTCAGATCATATTATTGATTATAAAAATGGTCTCACAACTCATGAGCNCCACCGAATTTGCTGTTGCATAAATCAATGTTTCTTCTACAAATAGTTGTAAATTACAATTTTTTATAATTTTACCAATATTGTTTATGTATAGAATGAATAATAGGGGTTCCAAAACAGCTTCTTGTGAAACGCCATGTTTCGTTAAAATATTATTTGAGATTTCATCGTTGAATTTTGTGACTTGTATTCTGTTGTTCATCATCAATCGATGACTTCCAGTCATTAAGTAGAGTTTTTAATGCAATTTCATGCGAATAAGTTATTCTAAATCCAGCTTGATAGTTTGAAAGTATGTTGTTAGTGTTGATATGGTCCAAAATTATTGCCACATAGAATAATCGTTTAGGAAGTTACGTGTTGTGTTTTTGGTGAATAAGCTACAAAAATTTCTCCCCGAAATTGAGAATTTTGAGAGTATCACCTTGCAATATTCATGGCTGTTGATTTCTTGCAATCTTTGACCACATTACAAATAATCATAGGAATCAAAGGAGTATAATTTCTTCACAGTCGGGGATGGCGGTGTCAAAACTATTTCCCGGGTTTGTTGGTCGTAGTCTGCAGGTTTTTATGAAAAATGAGCCAGAGAAATAATTCATGGTGACATTTGCAATTGACTCATAGTATGAGACACTATTATGCCTTTTCAATTTTGTATTGATTAACATGCCACGACTTGGCTGTAATTCTTTGGAATTGATATTTAGGCAACCTTTATTAATATTTTAAAGAGTTGCAATATTTTTGGGGAAGTCAAGTCTTTACAACTATGTATAATCATTTATCCACATCATTCGTGAAAAATTCCAGAGTAAATCTCACTTTGTGAGAAGAGGATTTCAACTGTGACTTTTTGAGGCGAAGAGCAATTTTTTCTTTGCCACCTTCTCCACCTTACACATATGTGATTGTCTTCGAAAACTGTTTCGCCTTCTACTATTGTCTGCAAATAACAGTTATTTCAAGGTTTTTTAAATGACAAAGGTCTCATAGAAATCTCAATACAAAAAGACATTTAT